TTATATTTGTGTAATGGGAGAGGAGGGCAAATAAATCATACAAGAGATCAAATTTCAGGTCCACTGATTACCGAAGCCATACGGATGTTTAAAAGGGAGCGGTATCGGTCTGTAGCAGTTTGATTGAGAGGCATAACTGGCCTTCATGTTGCCCATTCAGAGAAGTTTAAGAGGCATATGATGTGAGATAGCACTTCTTAGGGGAACTCTCCGACACAAAGGACATAGCCCCTGGAAAGCAGGGCAACCGTGCTGTTGGCATCGTTTTCAATATCTTGCTTCTTGCGTCATGTGCTGCCTATTTGCAGAAGTGCTCCATGGCTTATACAATGAAGTATTTCATCATAACTTGAAAATCTAAGGTGGGGCATATGAGGATGATGTTTATTTTAAAGGAGTCCTTCAGAAACATGTGTTTGCATTAGAGTGGGACATAAGATCCCAGCTGTTGTTCGGGGCAGGACCTGTGGATGTTCACGAATAGGTACAAATTCAAAGGGTCAGGTAGACACAGGTCCCACTGCAGAATTACTTTTATGCATTTTTATTGTATTTTTTTTAATATATGGCCTGGTTTGGGTGGTGGAGAACTCTGGTGGAGAACAAATTGATGCTCTAAATCTGGGAGGACAGTTAGTTAGCAGTCGAGATAGGAAGCCACCTCCCGTTGCAATGTTGATGTAGTTACTTAATGAGAAAATGGGTTTTATTCTATTGCAGCTACAGAGGTAGTGTTTGTTTTATTCTTCATCAGGTATAAATTTGGATGAAAAATGATCCAGTTAACACCATTTATAATAGCAGATGACTTCTTCATGTCTGATAGAGTTTTCCATTGACAGCACAAAATGATTTTTAGACTAGATAATGAATGGTATGTTTACCTAACAAAAAATTAATGCTTCCCAGACTTATAACTTGGATTTGTGAGTGGCATGTATGATAAAATATTTGCAGCGGTGGAATATTGCATTACATCTATAGCATTTTCTACTGGCAAATATTTTTCGTTATATTTTTCTGTTTCTGTGATTGTTATTTTAGAGTTTTCATGTCATCAACAAAAAGCTTCTAGAAAATTCACCGTGAGTATGTATTTAAAGAAAATCACACCCTTGGAAGGTCTTTTCCCCTTATGACAGAAATGTAAGCAATGTAATGTTTACTTTAATTCCAGTAAAATCTATGGTATGGAGTTAGATTGGGAATAAAACAGGTTCAGTCCCTCTCATAAATGATGTCCAACTACATTCACTTGACAAAAACCATCCAAAATGACCCTGTGGTCAAGTCTAGGTTTGAATATGAGACAAGTTAGGAAAAGCAGCTGATAAAGACCTGGGCTATTCACTGGTGGTATCTGGCTGCCTTCCAATAAAGCACAGAAGTATTTTAGTAGTCAGTCAGTACGTTTGATGTAATCTCATTGAAGTTCATCAGACTCGTGCCTCTCTAGAAAGGCAACCAATTCCTCATACAAGCAAATCATGTTTGGTTCATGCTTGCTGTTGACAGCACAGAGTCAAAAGGGGAAGGAGTTTTCATGTTCATTTGGTGGATCTTCAGAAAGCTCTGCAGTAGGATTTTCTTCAGGTAAACAGTTGTGGGGTTTTTTGTTCCCTTTTATTTTTTTTTTTATGCTATTTGACACTTGGAATCATTTTGGGTTGAACCAGAAATTGTTGAGAAAAAAAAAAAGAGATGTTTCCACCAGAGAGTCAATGGTCTGATTCCTTCTAACATTTTGGCCCTTGAATTTCCTTAAGGCAATTTGATTCTTCACTTTTTATATCACTCTGTACAGGGGAATTGTGGTGATGTGTTATAATCCATTCCGAGGGAAATTTATTCCCATGAATTGGGTACCCAGCTCTTCAAGTGTGCTCTTGGAAATCCCAGTTTTAATAAATGCATGCTACATACTGATTAACAGATAAACATTACATAGACCTGTTGCTAAGATTGTAACTTGGCTCTCTCTTAAGAGGTCTGGTTATTTCAGACTTTCAGCCAAGTCACTTTGGCTTGATAACGGCAATATTTGCTCAGAAGACAAGGGCCGCTATCCTCTAGATCCAAATGGTTTGTTATTGCCTTCAAATTAGTTCAATGTTTTTCATTCTCCTGGAAAATTGATGGAAAGCAGTATTTAAAAGATCTTGATTGCCTTTGAGAAGGGAGATTATGGTTTGTAAATGTAATTATAGGAGTTAGAAGGACATGAGGGCACGATCCAGGCCATGGGACTGTTGGCCAAGTTTTCAGAGTTGAGGAGAACGAGCTGGACATGGGGCAAGGCGAAGATTTTGCTCCCACACAGCTGAAGACACCTTTACATGTGTGTTTTGGATATATTTTTAGTGCAGCCAAATATACCAACCTTCAGCTAAGGAAATGAGTTTCCCGAAAGCCTCTTCCCCTATGTGTGTGAGGGCTAAGCAGGCTCTCACCTCTTCCTTTTTTTCCTTTGACAGATCTGGTACATTGGGAGTCTTATGAATGGACAACTTTAGATGAAGCATATTAATTTGTAAGAAGTATATCCCTTGCTTCATTGCAGCTGTATTTTTCCTGGAAAAAAAAAAAATAAAAAAATTAGTTGTGTTTCTTCTTTAAAAAATTACCGCAATTATGGGTGCTGTGCTGGCAGTCTCCCCTTTAGATTTGCTGTTTTTCTCTAAGTCCTGTTTTCGTCTTTATTTCTTTTAGACTGCTGCTTTGCACAGATGTGTGTGTGTGTGTGTTATGCCCACAAATGTAGTAGTAGACATGCAGCAAAATAATACTGAGTAAACAATTACATTTCATTTTCTGGAATAAAAAAGGAATGTGTGTCCATAAATCTTCCTTTACAAAATCTGGGCTCGAGAGTAAGAAGAAGACAAGGTTTCTAAATTCATGAAGGCCTTTTGCGATGGAATCCTGTGCGCCACTGAAGTGTAACAAGCTTATTTATATTTTATTGTGCTTCTAGATCAAGCTGCATTATTATGGGCTGCATTCCCCAGATACTATAGCTGTTGCTAAGGAAAAGGTACATTATGTTAATATTTCGTGATAATAACTGTGCAGGCTGGGTTTTGTACATTAATAAAGTTACGGGGGGAAAAGTGAAGTTAATGCACCATTTTGATTTAATACTCCGTAGATTGTAGGTCACGTTTAAAGACAAAAAGCAAGCTTGAATTTGAGAAGAATTCAAAGAGAAAAATGTGAGAAAACCAAACAATTGGCAGAATTTATTTACTGAACTTTTAATTTGCTTAGCAGTAGGGATCTGGAACCAGCTCCGCTAAAAGAAAACTTGGCAGAAGCAAACTAAATGCTTTTACCAGACATTTCAGTGAAGAATTTCTCAGCATTTCTCATGCCTTAATGTGTTTTGATCATGTAAACAGAACATTCATCCTTAATTCCTGTTTCCTGACCATTTCCAGTGCTGTTGTTATGTGATTTAGGTACCTTCTGATTCATTTAATGTTAGGTTGATTCACTAAGAGCCCACAATCAAGTAGCACAATGCACAAAGCAGAATGGCGACGTAATGCATCGCTTTTGGTGTATGGAGTCAAAGAAAAGGACAAAGTCACGAGCAAGATAACGATGTCCATGCTGGGTATTTTAAAAAAAATATGCTATACAGACTGTATTGACGAGTATTACAAAAATGTTTACAAAACAAGGAAAATAAACAAGGAAGGATCTTGGCATTCCTCCTAAAGGAATGTTCTGAACTGACTTTCCCCTTTCAAAACTGTTTCCTCATTAATAGTGCTGCCAAGGCATGAAGCAGCCACAAAGGGAGGACTGAATGGGTAGGAGCTCATCCGAATGCTCGCGTACCCTGCAGGGAGAGCCCTGCACATGGCTGATTTCAGCAGGACAGTGGCCGAGGAGAGGAGAGGAGAGGAGAGGAGAGGAGGAGGGGAGGGGAGGGGAGGGGAGGGGAGGGGAGGGGAGGGGAGGGGAGGGATTGTTGGGCAAGTCATACAGTTCAGAGTTGAGGAAAGCAAGATGAACTGGAAAGGGAAGGACAAAATGCCTGTGTTATGTTATACACAACATGTACAGAGGTTTAAAATATCCCTCCTCCAATGCTTTAGTTTGGGACAGGTGGGAATTTTGGCTGCTGGAGTAAATGAGCTACCACCTCCAGCAACTGTACACACAGTAATAAAATAATGCTTGCTCTCCTGATTACCCACCCCAGGCACCCGTTTCTGCCAGCTCTCTTCTTCCCAGCTTTGCACCAGGTCTCTGCAAGCTAACAGCAAAGATCCTGAGTTCTCCTCCAGCATCATTAACCGCTCCTAACCTGCAGCAATACAGAGCTCAGCCCCAAAAGTGAGAGTGGCACAGATCGCTTATGTTTTTCGAGTCTGTCGAATGGACCACCCAAATCTTCAGTTCCTGTCCTTTTCAGACCAGAATATCTGTACCTGCTGGCTCCAAGGGCTGTGGACAGGGATGGCCGGAGTCTTTGTCCCCCAGTAATCCACCCATGGTTTTAAAAAGTGGGCGCCCCCTCATTGCCAATGGTCTGTGCTTATCTTTAAAGCACGTTGCTCTTCCACATTGTGTTTGGTTAAATAACCGCAGCTCGGAGTAGATACTTCGCATATAAGCTGACAGGGTTGACACTGTGAGTATTTTGCAATCATTTGTTTAATTAGCTGAAGCTCTTTGGGGAGAAGTTTATGAAATGGCATACTCCCAAAGTCTAATTTAAATCTGTTTTGCTTTTTTGATGGAGGGCTCATAATGCAAAGCATTAAAAAACGTACGAGTGAATGGAAAGTGACAAAACCCCTTCTGTTAACGGGCAGTGCCTCCGTAACAAACTTGTCCAAATACAGAAAGGAAATTACACTGAGTAAAATGACCTACAGGAGGGGAAATTGGAATTAAGTCCACGCAGCTGTCATGTCTTTTTTTTTTTTTTTTTTTTTACCTGTACTTCCCCTCTGTTTTCATTTAGCGCAATGCTTAATTAAGCTTCTCCTTTGTTTGGAGGTTAATTCCTTCTCTAATCTGCAGCTATTTTTGCAAAGGTGTTCATTACTGGAGCAAACGAAGGCCTAAGACTGGAGAACGGCAGGTGCCGAGCCTCCTTTAGCAGGAGGGGATTTCTGCTCCCGGCGTAGCCTCGCGGCCCAGCTCCCAGATGCAGGGCTTGCGTGTGGTCACGCAGACAGCACCTCTGCGGCTCTCTGCTTTCAGTAAAATGGTGAGGAGCTTAATTTTCTGCCAAAGTGCCATGGCAGCACTGCTCTGCCTGCTCACTAAATACATTGAGAGCCCTTCACTTGCAGCAGAGACTTAAACGAGCACTGGGAAGCGCGGTACTGATGCTGAATTTGGCTGCCGAGCTGGGGACCGGGCAGCGTTGGTGGAGCAGGGACCAATTCTACACGGGGTTTTTCAGCCCATCCCTCCTGCAAGATGTGCTTCGCCTTTTGGCCAAATGGAAGCGAACTTGAGAGCAAGAGCTAAAGCGGCGTTGAGAAGGAGAAAGCCTTGCCCATCCCCTGGTTCCCTACCCTGTGGTATATCACTCATGAAGGGTGGCTCCTCCCAAATCGCAGGAAAGACTGGGTGTAAACAAGAAGCCATTGCTTGTCATAGAGAGAGCAGGTTTTATTGTTATGTTTCCTTCTCCTGATTATGGGATTAGTCATTTCGTGCTTCCACAAATACATCCAGCTTCTCTAGTAAGTGATTTTTAACTGTGGCGCCCTGTGGATATTTGTTTCGTGTACTGTGGTCTTTTTGGTTCTTTAGAAGCTCCAGCTTTGGGGGAAAATAGAAAAGGCAATCGTGGAGCTGGCCGGATACTGCTGACACAGCTTAATTAGGGTTTAAATTAATTAAATATTTCTGAAATGAGCAGGTATTGACAGAAATCTATGTCTGTCCTATAAACACGTAAAAAGGAAAAAAAAAAAAAAGGTACTTTTAGATACATTTTTCTTTGTTCTCTCTAGACAATGCTGGTGGTAAACTGCACACATGGGTAAAGCATTTTGCACTTTCTGACAATTTATTTCTTCTTCGGAAGAATTGGCGTGATGAGAAATGGCACAAACAGCTCAAGGAGCATCGGCTCTTGCAATCAGTAGCTGGTGAAATTAGCATATTCCTTCTGCTTTGTTTGCACAGACAATTACAAATTAGATCAAGAAAGTATACTCCCAGAGGTGTGTTTGTGCTTTATAAGAGAACATTGGCATGGGAAGGGGAAAATGTATTAGTACAAAGCGTTTTAGCCCCATTTGTAGCTCGTACTGCTGGCTGCAAGCTACAAGTCTCGCACAAATCCAATAGAAATGGAAAGGAAGAAAAATGGGGGAGGAAAGGCAAAACAGGAGCAAACAAAGAGCTGTGTGAATAGCTAATTAGGATTAATTGCGTTCAGCCATGCAGGAGGTGCTGGGAGGATCCTGGGTGGATTATGGGGGCAGTGAGGGTGGAGGAACAGAGGTGCATGCTGAGCAAGGTAGGAGCTCCCACCCACCAAAATTGGGTCTTTGAGCGTTTCTGCATATAGAGGTTGCTTTTTCTGAGGGGTCTCTCCTCCTGGGACCTCCCTGTTTCAAGGACACCAAAATGAGGTAAGATCAACCACCACCTTGCTAGAAATACTAGCGTGAGGTTAGCGTTTGGTTGTGTGGCAATACCAGCCTCTTCTCCAAAATCTTTTGCCCCCACAGAGGGCCCCAGCACCTCTCCAGCTCCGATGCTGGGGAGATGTTAAGTAACGAGCAGCTTTTACTGACTGTAATTGTGCTTGAATTAAGTAGCTGCCTGTGTGCTTGGTGGCTCCTGCAGCCTGACATCCCTCCTGCAGCACTGGGAACCTCATCGCTTCACCTCGCAACAGTTCCTATGCCAGGCAGCTTCGGAGGGCACAGCTCGCTTGGCATAACTCTAAAATAACTTGGCAAGTGAGCCCTGGAGGCTTAAACTCTTGCCCTAGCTGGGATACGTAATGATCTAGCTACCTGCAGTCCCTGATCTTCCCTTTGTTCTCTGGTTTTCTCAGTTATCATTTGTTCACATGCCAAAAACAAATACATAAATAAATAAACAAATTAAATAAAAAAAAATAAGGAAGAGGTAAGAAACAAAAGGAAGAGGATTGGAAACGCTCGCTGCAGTTTGCAGGCAGGGCTGAGAGGCAGCCTTGGCTCTGCTCTTTGTGTCCTCAGGGTGGTAGTGCAGCTACTGCTTCTCGGTGCCTCGCAGGCTGGCGGGCAGCAGGGAGGCACGTTGTGTGTTTAATTTGCTGCTCGGATGTTTGTCGTGAACGTGCGTCCCCGTACTGAAATGGCACAAATTCCTGTGCTCGTCTGCTTCGTTTCTTGATGCTGTGTCGGGACCGTGGTTGCTGCAACCGGGCATTTTTGTGACAGCATGTTCGGTGAGAGGGTTCAGATTTGGGGACTGCAAGTCACTGTCAGATGAGCAAGGATTTAGAGAAAATCTCTTCTGCTACTCTCTTGCGGCCTCAGGAGACAGGGCAGAGCAGCAGGCAGCTGGCCAAAAGATGCACAGGTGAAGAAATGAGCTAAAGGAAAAAGAAAACGCAGGGAACTTTTATTGGATCCAAATATATGAAGATTTTTTTTTTCTCTCTTTCCACTTAAAGACAGCTTATCAGAAATCTTTGCAGAAGCTAACAGTGTGGATTGGGTAGCTGAGAGCTTTCTGTACAGCAGCTTTCAGAAGGCAAAGGTATTTCTAACTCCAGCAACAGCCCCGAGCAAAGGTGAGCTGCAGCCACCCCCGGCGTAGATACTGAGGCTGCCTTTGGGCTGTGCCCCTCATGTGCTTGTTCCATCCTTACATTTCTTTTGCCGGGGTTTGTTCCCAATGTTGATGGACTGCTATTCTGAAAAGTGATGTATTAAAGGAGAAGATAATCACGTAGCGGGATTTAAACCATCAAAGAAGGGAGTCCACTTAAAATGATGAGTACAGCTAAAAACTCCCCAGACTTCAGAGTTTTGCGGCGTGCAGATGATAACGTACTGCAGGACATCCTTCACTGGTAGGGAGGGCTCAAATCTGTGAGGCTTTCCAGCCTTCATCTATGAAATCACTTTAGTGCTTGGGATTTTCATTTGGCTTTCTACTCTATTTGATTGTGGCCATGTTTGAATAATGTCAGAGCGGAAATTGGTTTTATTGGACTTAATTTTGTCCACAGAAAGATGTGCAGTGCCTTGAAATATGATGTAATTCCCGAGCAGAAGGAGATGGGCTTCTCTTCAAGTCAGACCTCAGCCCTGGTGTCTTGGTTTTTAATAGTCCAGGCTGCAAAGTAGTAGGAAATGGTGGAAATTGCAAGGTGGAAGTGGGTTTAAATGGCAGTAATCTCTACCCTTGATGCAGGCAGAGAGCTGCAAATTGCTACTCTCCTTCAGCTGGGAGGAAGCCTTAAAGCAAGCTGTTGCTCTGCTTTTGTTTGATGGCATTTCACCTTTTTTTTTCTTTTTTTTTCTTTAAGTGGACAAAGGGAAAAAAGATTATAGGGAAAAGAATGTAATATAGACCTGGAAAAAAAAAAAAAGCTCTGTGTCCAAATACCTCATATTGTTGGGTATGACAGAAAAAAAAACCTCCTTCCTAGGGTGGAGGTGCTCGGATGAAGATACTGGCTGTGAGTGAGGGATAGCTGAAGGTTTTGATTGAAAGTGGTTGAGGGAAAAGCTGAAGAAAGGCAGTGCAAAACCTCGCAGAGCCCTGAAATGATGCGCGGCTCAGCCAGCAGACACGCTCCAGGCTGGAGGCTCCCAGCCGCCTCACCTTTATCTGAAAAACCAAAGCAGGAGTCTCAGCCGTGAGAAGAACTATTTAAAAATAATAATCATCATAATAATGGTGTTGCTCAGATTTTCTGGTTGCCATGGTTTTTGGGGACTGTAGTATTCGCTGCATTCCAGATACCAAATATAGACGTAGCTAATTTCACCTGGAGAAAAAAAAAAGTGATGGGATTTTCTGTGTTATTTTTTTGTTGTTTTTTTTTTTTAAAGTTGGGGATTTTAAACCTGCAGTTTTGGGGAGGGTCGCTTGTCTGCTTATGGGGTATTTGTGTGTGTGTGTGCACAAAAATGACGCTGAGCAAGGCCAGTGGTGAGTTGTTGGGGCTCTGCTTGATGATGCTCGAGTAACTCTGTGAGTAGCTCGCTGCAGTCAATGCTTGTATCAAAGATAAAGGCTGGCAAGCAGATTTTGGGCTAACAGTCCCTGCTTTCTGTGCCAGTTACTCAGCAAGACGGATCTAACCCAAACCCCAGAGCCTGGTTGGGATAGAGGTACCCAGGCTGGGGCAGAACTGGCCGTGTTCCCCAGAGGTCAGAGCTGATGCTGAGGCTGTGCCTCCTTCGAGTGTCCATTTGTTTTTGAAGAGCAGTGGTTTCTTCGAATGTGCATCCTCTAATGGCCTTCTGCATTATCCTTTCAGGTTTGGTTGGAAATGGAAGTTCCTCATTTCTCCTTGCAGCCTTCTGTGGGATTTGGTGCATTTTTAAACTGCTGATACATTCAACATCAAAGGCATTTTGTGTTTGCGCATGGGAATAGCTGTCTTGTCATAATGAACGTGACCTTAAAGTTTGCCATTAACTAAAAAAAGAAGGTTGTCTCATAGCTGCACTCACATTTTACGAAGATGTTTCTCTCACCTTACACAGTGTTTAGGAAAAAAAAACAACTTCCAACTAGGATCCAGGAGGGGCTGTGCGAGTCAGAGCACGGTTTGTTCGCTCCATATTCAATCTCCCCTTGAGCCCAGCTCAGTCCATCACTAATCCAGCCGGATTTGAGCTGAAGGCTGTGCTGTACCAAGAGAGATGTGTAGTGGGGTGTGATTCTGACGGTGTGAAAAACGTGAGAGAAACCGGCTGTTTCTAGCCCAGAACTGTAGCTGGGACTGATGTTCCTCCTGCTCTTCTCTAAAGAGGTCCCAGGTGGCACACACCACTTGCCGTGGCAAAAATTTGGGGCAGGGGTAGAGAGGGAAGCGTGGCTCCCAGGAGACGATGCCTGACACATCCGTGCACATTATCTGGACTAGGGAGCACGGTGGGGATAACAAAACTAATTTCACTTTTAGTTCTGCTGAATGGGATCTCCTCCCTGCTAAAAGACAGGTTTTCTATGCCTTTGACACCTGTAGCCGCTTTCTGCACCCGTGGAAGGAAACTGAGGGTAAAAATATCCCTGTGATGATTTGGTAGTATTTTACACCAACTGTGCTGTCACTTCGCACAGGCGGAAAATGACTAGATGAGGTAAGGAAAATCAGTCTGTAAATCCATAAAAATCGTGGGTTTTCTGCATCTACTGATTTCCCATTGTCCATATTCATTACCGGAGAGGAAAATGGATGAATTAGTGCTTGGTTCCAGGCAGCTGTTCATCTAACTTCCCCGCGCTGCACATGCTGCGGGTGTTTAGGATATTTTCACTTGCAAAGAAATAAAAAATAGCCAGCTTCTGTTATCTCTCCCCCTTTCCTGTGTAGTCTTCTGAGGCAAGGGAGCCCACTGCTGTGTTTTGTACTTTCCTGAAGCCTGGCTCTGATTGTGGGGCTGCCTTTGAACAAAGATTTCATACCAAAGAGTGGCTTTCGCAGGGATCCTTCCACTTCATCTCCAAATGGTTCCCAGCCCTCGGCTGCCAACCATTGTGTTTGGGGGTACATTTTCCATTAAAAACAGCCTGGGAGTTGCTGAGCTCCACTTGCTACGTCGGTCCTGCCAGAGCACACACAAAAATAGTCTCTGGATTGACAACGGGAGATTTTTGAACTCAGAAGAGCAGTGGGAAGGCTTTGAGCCCACTGTAGCAGCGTAGTAAAGGGACTCTGACTCGCATCCGTCACTCACCGAGAGACAGAAAGGCTTGATTTATTTTATCAGAACCCATCTCTTTCATTGTGTGCATCCTCGAGGATGTGGAAGGTTGAGGATTCAGCAGCTTTTGACTGGGTTTTGACAGGCCAACTTGTGGCCTGGGGGAAGAAGGGGTTTGGAGGCGGGCTGGAGGTATCCTGCTGCAGCGGGCGACCTGGAGCCAGATCTCAGGTAAAAGCAAGCCAAGACCTCAGGAATAAGCAAACCTGTGCTCGAGGACCTGCTGCATGCTGGAAGGAGGCTGGATGGCAGCAAAACATGGTTTCAAAAAGAAACATTAGTCCTGCTTCTTGCCCCTGAGAGCAGTGAGATAAAGAGCTCTGCCAGCAGGGCCAGGCAGGGAGGGACAAGGGGTGATCGTGGGCAGGAGTGTGAGGAGAGAGGGGCAGATGCTTGAATCTGCCTGGGTAACACACCTGAGCACTTTGGGCTACAGATGGCACGTCAGAGAGGAAAGCTGTATGGGTTATTAATATGGTAGGTGGCTTTCTTGGGAATGGGGCTTCTTTAGCTGCTACTCTTCTCCCCTTTTTGTGGCTCAACGCTGCCGATTACAAGGGGAGCAGAGGATTATAATATATATTAGCTATTTAGACACTGGAGATAACTCACAATGCTGAAAAACTGAACTTATCTCTGATTAAAATTTAATTGCTCCCAAGCTTCCACTAGTTACTTGCATTAAGTTTCACACCATCGGAAAGCGCTCATCAGCCAGTGTTGGATTTAACAGGAATTTGGCAGATGTTAGCGAAGTGCTGGAGGAGCTCCAAACCACAAGATCTGCGGCGTGTAATGTGTTTGAAAATTTGTTGGCAGCCGAAAGAAAAATCGAAAACCTGGAAATAGCAATAACTGGACGCAGATCCCTTCTAATCAAACAGCCAAAATGTTGGACCGCCACCTCCAGCACCTGGAGCACCGGCACGGTTCGAGGAGTGTCGGGTGTCTTGTGAGGTGTCAAAGCAGCAGATTTTATATTATTGGCTTGCAGAGTGCTTTATGGAAGGAACACTGGTATCTCCATGGAAATCTTGAAGAAGAAGAAAAAAAAAATCTGTTCCAAGGCAATTTAACAAATTAGTTATGTTTTATAAATCTTAGGTTTTCATTACAGCTTTTCCCTCCTCTTGAGGACATTTATTCAGAAACAGGGTCCTTGTTCGGTAAGAGACTAATTTATTTCTGTTATGTATTCCCTTCCTATCAAACCCTGCCTGTGGCATTGTAACTTTAGCATCAACTAGCTTTTTTTTTTATTATTTTTTTTTAACTAGAACGTGCTCCTGGTACAAGGAGAGGACAAACACGAGTAGCAAACAAGGTTGGAGAAACCTTGATCCATTTTTTATAAGTATATCCAGAGGAATGACAAAAAAAAAAAAGTGCTTACCTCCACGTGGGTGCGTGGTGTTTTGATAGCCTCGCTAACGGCAGCACAGAAGCCAGGCGAGGCTGCAGAGGCTGAGGATGCCTCTTTTAGACAAACGGGAGCTGAATTAAAATCGAGGATGGTACAAGTCCTTTTCAGAGAGATGCCTGCTTGTGCTTAAAAATAAATATAACACACTCTGTGATTTAGTGTCTGTCATGTTTTAATGCATGCAAGTATCTCGGCAGTGCTTGTGGCAGGAGTTTGTGTGGAAAAAAGTAAATCTCACCTTAAGCCTTTTTCAATTGAAACAGCATTTGGTGGAGTTTGTGCAAAAGATTAAGTCAGATTCACCCCTTGTTGGGACTGAGCTGATGGGCAGAGCACACAGAACAGTGCCTGGCTTGTGCTATTGAAGCATTTGATCCCTCATATATGATTTCATTTGTTCTGTGGTTCATAGCAAAATGCATTTCATATGCTCTTCTCCTCTGTAATCTGACCTGGACTCGGCAGATCCCAGCCGATAGGTAGGTGCTGCCTGGGGGAGATGCTGGATGCCTCAGTTAATTCTGCCTTATCTGGATTTTTTTTTTCATCTCCCAGGGAGAACAGGAGTGAACAAGAGTTTAGAAGTTTGGGTCTATGGCTAGGAAAGGAGTTAGCCCATGCTGTGTTCTGAAGTGTTGGCTCCAATAACCTTAAGCCTAGGCTTAAAAACTGTACTAAATTGGAGACTGCATGCTGCCACATTGGGCACTCCCATGTTAGCAAGGTTAACATGCCATCAGCTGTTTTTTTTTTTTGTTTTTTTTTTTTAAGTTATGTCACGTATAATTATTAGTAATTACACAGTTGTGGGTTGTGGCTTTTTTTTTTTTGAAAAGCAAATCAAAATACTTCAAAACTCCCAGTCTCTTTCAGCTGTGCTGCAAATCACAGAGTCATCTAAGTTGGAAGAGACCTCCCAGATCACCTAGTCCAACCTCTGACCTAACACTAACACATATTCCCCTAAACCATATCACTAAGATGACACCACGAAACCCACCAGTGCTTTATTTCACGTGATATTTTCTGAAGACTTGTGGAGTATGTTGTACAATGCAATCCCAGAATACATAGGTACAAATGCTGTTTCCAGCAGCAAAACTTGGTAAAAAGCTGCAAAGATTTTTTCAGACACTGAAAGCACTCTATTTGATGCTCTAACAGTGATGTGGGAGGCAGAACGCACACGTAGGCTGTCGCAGGACTCTTTGCCGGTGAGCGGAGAGAAATAGGGCAGCACAGGCTCTCTGCAGGTTTTTCAGAGCAAATCTTAGCTCACCAGCACTGAGACGCTGCTCTCTAGCTACCAGCCCTAATCCAACCTGACCATAATAAGCGTTGGCCTTGCTGCTAATTTTGTCCGGCGAATGCAAAGATGTGAGATGTGCTGCCACAGCAAACCAGGAGAGGTGTTTCAGCCACCGTGAGATGGACCGAACTGTTCATCGGGTTCCCTCTCCCGTTGAGGGAGTACCTCCAGATTTAGATCCAAAAGCACGTGCAGAGATGCATGAAGTGGCTGTTTGCGGTTTTCCAGTAATTGCAGGTGTTTTAGGAGTGATAGAAATACTGCAGTCCATGCTTTGCGAGGTGCAGTCAGGATTTCCCAGCTAGGCTGAGTGAAACGGGTGCCTTCATCTTTTAGGGCTTGGTTAGGTCTGGCTTCACATGTGCGAGTTGATTGGACTCACAAGCTGAACCTGTGCTATGCAAAGATGAAATTCAAAGGGGAAAGTAAGGCCGAGACACCTAAATAACCCGAGACATGAAAGGGCTGAGCACAAGGCAGTGCTTTTTGAAGTCAGTGGGAGATGCTGCTTTCTTAGTGCTTTTCAAATCAGGCCACTTTTTCAGAGACTAACGTTCGGGTACTGTTTATGAAAGTCCTGACCTAAATGTCTTATTCATTGTGTCTGCATTTTTTTTTTCCTATGGCAAAAATAACGAGAACAAGAATTAGGGGTAAGGGAAGCCTGCAGAGTCCTGCCCGACCCCCGTGGAAGGGCGCGGGCTGCGTGCGGCCCTGGGCACAGCACATTTCTCTTCCTGCTCTCGGTAAGACAACGAGTTTGTAAGTATCTCGTGACCGAAGAGTTTTCTTTATTTGCAAAGGACTGTAACATCTCCAAGGCAATGATTTCAAACCAAGGAGCCCCAGATCATGCCTCCTTTCCAAGCCTTGTCACTGACCCGCGGAGCAGGAGCTCCCCGAGGAGAGTATGCCCGACTCTTTCTCTCACTGCCGGCACATCCCTGTCACAACTTGTTGGTGTTCTCAGGACAGCATCTGGCTAGCTGCCCTGCTTTTCAAGGTCTGAAGTGCTTTTTCACTCTCTGTAGCTATTTTCATCCTTGGCCTCCTGGCTTGGGGAAATACAGGCTTTGCTTTACCCGAGAGAGGCTGCCATGACCCACTCTGGGGGGCGATGCCTTCCTCCTCCCTGGTACCCTTTGCCACCTCCAGCATCGCCGGGCTGGAATAAATTTCCAGCTGCTCTAACTGCAACCTAAACCTTCTCCTCAGGCAGGCATTAAGACAAATCCTTCTCTCTGCCTCCCTCTGAGGGCCCAAATGACGGGCCGTGCTCCTGAAATCATTGCCTCGCATCACTCTTGCCAGCTGCGCATCTGCTGCAGCTCACCTCACCTTGGCCACCAAGGACAGCGTGAAGCGAGCCCATATTTCAAAGACAAAACTGAGGACGCCCTGCCAGGAGGAAGCTTTAAGCAGAGCTTCATTGTGGGCCCGTTGTGCTGCGTGGCAGTGTGGCCGGGGAGGCATGCAGCAAGGGAGATCGCACCGACACGTGTGGTATGGTGGGGAGTTTTGTTCTACAAAATGTATTCTGGCCTACGAAGGACGCCTTTGGCTTCAGGCTTGGTTGTTTGAGGATTAAATATCCTGTAATTTACTTTTTTCCTGGAAGCTCAGCTATTATGGGCAAAAATATGTCTTTGCCTACCTTACACACCTACCTTAAGGAAGCTTGAATCACAAAGGTTTTTATGGATATCAGTTATGGCTCAGTTTGTCTTTAAAATAAAAAAAACAAACGACTTGTAAAGGATACCAGTTACACAGACAGGTGTTTCGAGTGAAAATCTCCTGTCACATCCTTTTTCATGCGCTGTTTGATCAGATGCAGTTAACTCTAATTGCAATTTGTTTTGTGGAGGAAAAAAAAAGAGTATATAGAGAAATATAAACACACACAGCAACGCAGGTAGCTCATCTGGTGGTTCTGAGGGTGGGAAAATGAATGTTGTTTCCACCGCGCAATCAGGCTTCAGCACTGCCCTACTGGCGGTGGCTCTCCAAAGTGGTAATTCAGCAAATATTACCACTGGGATGTAGCCAGAAAGCAGGCTTTTTTTCCTCCCCTCCCTGTGTCCTGCTGCGTTGGGTTTTGCAGAAGGAAAGCTGATGATAAATGTTAGCGAAATGCCCGGGGTGTTATAAGCTTCATTTGCCCTTGGTACTCAGGTGGGCTTCCCTCGGTTCGTTAGACCCCTACCTGGAAGATGGAAAGGTTTGTCGGGAGAATTTGAGGCGTGCTCTGGGGATCTGTAGCCCTGGGCAGAAAGGCCATATATGTTCCCCCTCTGCACAGGAACCCTTCTGCGCCTAAGGGAAAGCAAGGCAATTTTTAAAAGCAGATGGCAAACAATGGAGAAATAAAGCTGGAAGGTGCAACTTGTTACCCAGGGGGCAGATGGAGAAGTGGTGCGTAGGCAATGACAGGTGAGGTGTGCAGGGGAAAGTTTTGGAACTGACCTGGGATAAGGAAAAAAGCTAAAAATAGTGATTTAAGTTCCCCTTCGGTGGAGGCGAGCCAGCGCCGTGCCCGGAGAGCTGTAATGCAGGTTTCACATGAATGAAATTTTATTCAGCATGCAGGGAGAGAAATCTGGGTAAGAGGGAGATTGGGGGATTTCTGAATGTCAGCCTGAAGTTTCAGCAGGAATCCTATCATCTGCGAGGGCTCAGCCTCACCGGCACAGTGTTTCTCTTGGCTGATGAAGGCAATCTAACACCGCATTTCCCACTTGGAGGATCCCTGCAGAGAAATCGTCTCCAAAGAAAAAAAATGTTCAGCGACACCGGCTAGCTCGTACTGCTTTCATCCAGCCAGGCGCTGGGCTTTAGGATTTCGACACTATAAAAAGGAAAACAAGCAACCTGGAAAGGGTCAACTTCATATTCTAATTGTCCAAGGAAGGGATCGTTAAGCTGAGTTGGCCCTGGCACTTGGTTTGCGTTTTACACTCTCGGCTCCCCAGCACTGTCCCTTCTCCCTCAATACGCTCTCGCTGTCCCAGCCCAGTTCTTCCACGGTTTTGTTTTTCGTGTAGGCAAACAGCACAGCTTGGACTTGCCTCGGCTTGACAGGAATGGACACATAATTTTCTGTTATATTGTTATCGGAATGCTGCACGCTTCAGCTGGCAAACAGATTGTCAAACATCCTCGAACAATATTTGCTCGGAGTGCAACAGAGAAAAGAAATCTAATATCTGCTTTTAGACCCGGCTCCTTCCTGATGTGCTTTGTTTGGTTCTCTTTGCGCACGCTTAACATTTCCTTTCTGTTAGAGCATACTCAACCAGAGCTGATTAATCGGATTCGTTATCCGGTGAGTGCTTGCTCATCTCTAAAAGCTGGCTGGACCAGGAGGTGAGTTTTTTCCTTATGTCCAGCTCCCCTCAGGGACACACACCCCTGTCTCTGCTGAGAGCAGCAGCTGGCACTGGGCTGAAAACCCCATGTGACAAATAAATGTTGGGTCACCGTGCCCTGAGAGGTACAGGTGGCTCGGGCAGGCTGCTCTTAGACATCCTCTTGGATCTCTTCAGCACGGGATGCAGCCCCTTGCTGTTACTGAATGCGAAATATCTCAGTTAGGATGCAAAACAAACCCGTTGCTTCGTTGGAGCCTGTTCGCCCAGGCGTCAGAGTCTGTGAGACTTCTGTGCACTCTGCTCTCGACGAAAGCTGGAGACAGCGGTGGTTTAACTGAATCAGTGTCGCTGTTTTAGCTCAAAGATGAAGTTTAATAAGGGAAAATAAGAGTTTAATTTGGAAAAACATCTTGTGGGCCAGGGGGCTGACCTT